CCCTTTTTTCGGTCCTCGTTAAGGAAATAAATCGGGGACTCCTTGTGAATACTGTACAGTACTCGCTCCCTCTCATCTTGCTTTCTGGCGATTGAATACTACACTCCTGTAACCAAAAGGGCAGTAAACCCCCTGCCTTGTGAACTCTTTCAAACTGTTTGGGGCTGATTCAGCACAATACTAAATATATGTCTCATGTGCACAGATTTGCAATTTGGTAGGGATTGTATCCATTCTGACATTTGTTTTTGATGATACAACAAGTCATTTTCTCATGTGCCTGCAGATGGGCATAATCACAAGTTCACGTTTATTTGTCATTCCAGCCATATACAAGTATACAGTGGAACAAAGTATCGTTCCTCCTGGTCCACGGTGCAAATACAGACAGGACACTGACATAGACATTGTAGACAGGATTCACAAAGTGCAAATAGTGCAAATTAAAAGGTAAATACAGAATACAATATACACAACACACTGGGGGGATTGAAACCCTCTTTCTGGAACTGGAGTGGGTGCAAGTAGATTCCAGGGTGTTGAGGAGCCTGACACTTTCTTGGCTAGGGAGGTGGTACTGAGAAACCAAGTGAGGTCATCTGTAATGTGTACACCAAGAAACGTGGTTCTTCTAACTGTCTCCACAAGGGAACCGTTGATGTGCAGTGGGGAGTGATACTCTCTCGAAAAAACATCACCTCTTAAAACATGACAGAATGTTTCGAACTGTTGTTTTGTGAAAGGGAAATAAGTGGCAGAGGTGCTTTGTAAGACTGATTTGTGGAATTACCATAAACATGCTGGTCAGATTGATTGGCTATTGCCCTTTGTAACATGTCTCAGGGATTCAGATCAGGAGATCTCTTTGAAAAACCTTATTATGATCAGTGATGAGCCTTTAGAATTGTAGACTAAAATGAAACTTGCGCAACTGCTTCATTACAAGGTCTGATAACTAGACTCCACTTCTATTCTTAATAGTGGTGAAGGTATTGGGATTATATAAAGGTCTGTTCTTTCAGTGCAAGGTTGTAATTATTTCTTAAACATTGCAATTATTTTAAACAGGTATTCAAATTCAGAAATACAATTTTTATTTTGAAAATCAAATAGATATAGAATAACTTACTTGAATTTCATATCAATATACAGTGTAGAGTGTTGCCATATTAAACACTATATATTATGTGTATGATAAACTTTGTGAGTCTTACTGTATGTTGCATTTCTAAAGGCATTGAGTTATATCATTCATTTTATTCTTTTATAGAATGCATTTGTTCCTAAACTGTTCTAGTCAAAATTCTGAATGCCTAATCATGGGTTTCACTCATGTGTAGCAAATAAATGTCTTTTTGATAAATAATGAAAATATCCCCCAAGAATTGCTGTCTGGGTAAGAATATGTTCATTTGAAAACACAGTATTTGGATACCCATTTGTTCAGAAGGTACTGTACAAGCAGGAATCCTTACAATAACTTAATGTGAACAGGATTTATTCCTCATTCTGGAAAAAAAAATCCCCCTTCTGTATTGCCCCTTATTTATCTTGTTTTTTAATTCTTTATTATAATTCTGAGCATGAGCACTGATCCCATAAATCAGTTATCGTTTCTCAATCTTGGTGGAAAGCAACTTAAATAGTACCTACAGTAACTTCACATGGATGTTGTGATGTTTTGATATATCAATGTTGTGCATTAAACTATATTATTGAAATACTTTCAAGAGTTTCAGTTCCAAATTAGAAAGTGATAAATGGGGTGAGATCAAAGTCAACAACACTATGGTAGACAGACATGGCTTTAGTTGAAAAAAGCATGTTAAGAGAGAGTATTTTAATACTTTTGATTTTAATAATTGTTCCTGGACAAATGTACAAGATGTGACCTTAAAGCCTCTGAAAATTATCTGATTTTTTTATTTTGTGTTCATTTTGTCTTATTATTCACAGCCATATATCTAAGAACTAAAACCTTAAAAGGAAGGTACTGTGATTTTAATTTATTGTTCACACACAGAACTGCTACATATATCAAGGATAAGATTTACCATATAATAAAAGCTCCACGTACTGTACCAGTAAAACGAATAGAATTTGAATTTTCGGTGAATTGTTTTTGGTGTTTTGTTAAACAAGCATGCTAAAATGAGTATTGCATTAGAAATTACACCAGCCAGAGGGTATGGTGTGGGGTATACGCCTAACGATAAGACACAGGTGCTTGCTTTCTTAAGGGACAGCGAGCTGACAGTCTGTAAATCAACCATTAGGAACGGGGAAGCCAACAGACTGCTCAGACAACAGCACCAGCTGTCTCGAGTTACAGAGCGCCTGACAACTCCCCTTTTGAAGATTTCCTCCATGCACCATGTTCTTTGCTGTTGTAGTTATTTTCTTATTCTAAGATACATAGTGTTCTTACAGTGTAGCCTGCCTTGTCTCTTTTAGCATTCCCTTAACTCACTTTGGTTTGTTTGTCAGCTAAAGCTGAGTCTTTGCTACAGTACTGTATGTTGCTGTAAGTGCAACATGGGTAAATTTGATTGCTGGCAAAATCCAGGTGCAGTGTAATGTATCTGCTTTGAGATGGGTACATCGTAGGAGCAGAGCTGTCACTTATCCGGAGCAAGAGGCAGTCAAGACAAACAAGAACATTTCTTGCGCTCCTCACCACTGTGATAAGGGAAATGGCACAAAGACAGAAATTCACGAGTCAACTCGTTCGCTGACAGTGTGCTTCTCACAAGTGCATGAAGGATTTGCGCTTTGAAAAATGTCAGGCATGAGATTCTTTTCTATTGAAATAATTTGTGTTGCAAAGCCCAGTATCCACACAGTAACAAAGCATAAACTATTTTATTGCCTTTATTCAATGGCAGTTTTAAACCACCACCTAAAAGTGCAAAATAAATTGTTTTTTTTTAATTTTTATTATAAGGCTGCGGCATTGCTGTTTCTCTTGCGGCAGGTAAGATATTTTATATAGCGTGTATAAAAGAACTATCGATTTAGCTGAATTTGTAGTAATCCTTTCCATACCTACTATTGCAGCAGGTTTTATTTTTTAAACGCCTCGCCTCCTGTCAGAAAATCCTAAGAACGTAAAATTATTCCGATCCAATAGTTTTAGAAATAACTGATTAAAAGGACAACTTTTAAAGCAGACTATGCAGTCTGTAATTTTGTGCCATGCTGTTTTAGAAACAAGATGGAATTTCTACAGCGGAATTACACTTAGTTTTATAGCACTTTTTTTTAGTTGTGTAATCGCTCCCAAGTCCTACAATTTAAAGTATTTTTCTAAGGATGTTTTCTGACACAACATATTTCCTCTCCACGCTTTCAGAGAAGTTGATAGATGACAAAACGTCCAGCAAAGTCTCCCTTGGACTGCTCGCCCTTTTCTTCAAACAGAAAAAGTGCAGCGAATATAAAAATATGGATCCGTTATGCCCCACCTTATCCTTCCCCTTAACCGAATGACGTCAACATATCTTAGTACTTTAATGGAACAATAAAGGGACACTGGTTAGTCCTGTTGTTGTCCAGATAGGCAAGTTACAGAGGTGTCCTTTTCAGCAGTGGCTACCACATGCATGAATCATCCACACTATCTACTGTAGTTATTAATTATGCAGAGATCGTTTAACCTACTAAGCATAATTCCACAGCGACTCCGCATCCCCGACCTTTGGCTTGTGAGGGAAGTAAATGCCCCAACACTGAGAGATCCGACAGACTCTCGGCGACTTCGCTGCGCTCTGGAGCCGCCGTGTGGGGTTCGCTTCAAACAGAGACGCTGCGGTCCACAGAACGATTCTTCTTTAACGCTGGAATTGTAAAATACCGTAAGTTTCTCTTTACGTGTCATGTTTTTGTGGTTGTGTATTGTGGTTTTGAGGAAAAATATGAGTTAACAAGATCAGACATGGCTAAAACGTTTTTTTTTATTTTCAATTGAACACACATGCGCGCACATTCAGTTCAGTACATACACTACATGGCATTAACACACAGCAATGAAATGCCATTAGCTGTATTTTCATCATTAATATTTGATGGCTTCGTTTCCTGAAATATATCCCATTCCTTGATATAAAAGATCTGCCACCACAACTTTCAGCATTCAACATACTGTACACGCATCTGTGTCTTACATAGGTTTGCGCATTAGTTCAGTTACTGAGTTGCGTTCAGTTTAGTAAGTTATTGAGTATGCTGACATTTAAGGGAGCCCTCACTTCAGGAAGAATATAAACGCAAGGTGTCGGAGATCCCAACGCATTAGTGACATCTTGTGGTCCCCAAATGTTAAAATCTCACAACGTGCCCGAGTATCCATGGGGACAGATCTGATGGTAGAAATATTTGCAGGGGGTTGCGGATTAAAACAAAGTTTTTTCTAATGAATGCACAACGTTTAATTAATTGGGCCACCGTATCTACAATAAACGGCGCGGTGGTTAATCTTTTAGACAGGCCGGCGTGTCAAAACAAATTCAACTGCCTTGACAAAGTTGAATTGCTGAAGGCGAGCCCAGCGTGACTATCCCCACATTAAGAACACAGGTGGATGCTGTCATTATGATCGTTTCACTAAGGCTTTTTCAATTGTTCTCAGGAATGTGCCTGGATTACCCACGGTTGCGCTAAAAAAAAACAACGCATGACAGCATCTGGAGAGATGAAAAGGTGGAACTGAAGTCTCACGGAAATAAAAGCCTCGCCACTCCTTACTCTTTCAAAACGGCATCATGCCTTCTGGCGCGGAGTGTCTAAGGTGAAACAAGATGCAGCAGCCGGCGGGGGAGATCGAAAACGCACAGGACTTTGACGAAGAGCCGGGCTGGACTCTCTGTTTATGGCAGGATCCGAACGAGGGGTCGGCGGGGCGCTCCAGTGCCCAAACCCAAACCAGCCCCGTTCTCACCGAGGACAAGGAGACCCAGACCTGCAATCCCGTGGTGATGAGACTGGCATCTTCCAAACTGAAGAGCACCATCCCGGTGGAAGAGGACAACAGAGCCCTCACGCCACTCTTCCAATTCGACAGACAAGCCCCTGCCAGGATTTCCACCTCCCCCACCCTCAGGAGAATGAGAAGAAGCATCAGACGCCCCCCGCTGGATTTCAGTGACCCTGGGAAGACAAACAGCACAAAGGCAGAGACTCCACTGGGTCTCGTTCCTCACTCAAAGAGCTCGGACAGCATAACACATCTTATTATTCCCCGATCACCTGCATACAGACAGAAATCTCCGTTGGCACATAGTCTGCCCTCCTCTTTAGGCTTCGCTGCAGGTTTCACCGAAGACCATGAGTCTGGTCTATCCCCATCCAGTGACAGCAGCGATGGACTCAGTACAGGCGGGCTGGGCAATGGGCTGGTTTGCAGGAACCCGGAGTCTCAGGCTGTAAGAGAAAGTTCCAGTAGAAAGGGTGACATTGCGGATGACTCTAATGAGGTAATTCCTTTTAGGTAGGCCCGAAAAAAAAAATCATTTCTGTTGGAATTATAATAGGTTGTCCGTTTATTCCATTAAGTCATTAAAGATTCTGACACTTTAAACTATCTGCTTAATTCAAGGTCTTGAAGAGAGTTGGGGGCATGGTGGAACAGAATGTGTGTGTTCTGATTGTAAACCATGGACTTGGCCATGATAAAGTGGGTTAGTCAACAGGATCTGTTGGAGAACAGAACTGGAGATTACCCCATTATCAGGGAAATAGAGGTTCACCTTGCCATTACGTCTTGGAGACAGTTTGCAATATGGTAGAACTTGGGAACAAGAACGTACAGCACATATCGCAGAGAGCCACCATATCCTGGAACCTTTTCCACTGCTCATAACGGACCTGTCAGGGTAGCCAGCCCATGAAGAGTGTTATGACTCAGCAGTTTCAACACTACTCACATGACCCAGCAGTTCTAAACAAACACTGAGCTTCAACATGACACAGGTCCATGATTGTTGTGGAGGGTTTTCAGCTGTGCTCGTAACAAGGTTCCTTCACTGGAGAAATCCTGCAGGAAAGGGGCTGTTTGTTTGAGGCAGGCTGATGAAATGTGACTGTATAAATCTGTGTGTGTGTGCAGAAAACTTATAAGGTCAAATTTCCAGGTTTTAAAGATGGGCTCAGTTCCAAACACATTTTATTTTAAATTATCTATGTGAGAAAGAGAAGGCAGTGGTCTAGCCTGGAGACCTCAGGCTTCTGAAATGATTCTGCTAGCACACATAGCAGTTGGTATTGGAGTACAAAAAGTAAATCTCTCTATGTGCAGTATCTGTATATGCTTTAATATACACGTTCAATATAATCAAGACAAATACATGGCTTGTTATTACTAATGCCTGTTTTTAAATGAAGATTAGAAAACATGGAGATTTATTTCCACCTGAAAATCATAATTCCTTTTTTAGTTTAAACATTCACTGGAATTCCTGTTGTATAGTTGTCCCACAAAACACTCCATTGTTTAAAATGATTGTGTCACTTCTGACCTGAGAAAAGTGTTCAGACATCAGTACTTAAATCAATTTATCTTCCTTTTCATAGGTGAATGAACCCATCCAGAAAAGGTAAGTGAGCAGAATTTAGTAAAATTTAGATGCTTTGAACATTCTGTTTCTGTCAATTTAAAAATATTTTTTGAAGAACTTTCACTCAATATGAAGAATGCAAAAGGAGGAGGAGTTGGAGGAACTCCACAGTACCAGATCCACTAGACCTGTTTGATAGCCATCTGGCCAACACATATGAAACATAAAAAAATGCTCAGACAGTAATATCTGATTTCTGACATTCACTGATCTATCAACTCTGTTAATCACAACCAAAAGCTGGTCAGAATGAACTGAATGCTCTTGTGTACCAGTTGTTTGTACCATGCCCTTTATTTTGAAATCAAATGGATTCCCAAAATCAACAAAACATTTTACCTTCTTAATTTTTTTAAATCCCAAACTCGGGATTTATCAAGAGGACAGACCGAGATTCAGTGGAAAGGGCTGATTGCAATCGTTTTGATATTTGTAATTCAATTCTGCAAAATACAAGAGTGCACAAAGATCCATTGTTTTAAAAAAACACTGATGGTTTGCAAGGAGATGGCTGTGTACAGTAAATGCTCACTGTTCGCTGTACTGATTATTCCATGGTCAACACTGAGAATGAGCTGAAATACCTTGCTCAGCTGTGTGTAAAAAAGAAATGGGCTCATTAACATTGTGTGGATTAATCAGGCCATACACAACCTGACAAATAGCCTTTGTTATATTTTATTAAATTACAGTATTACATTTTCTTTTCCCATAATTATTTTTGGTACTTTGCCCAACATCTCTTTCATCTGAATTATTTCAGTAGTCATTTGAAAAGCATTAGTTTATTCATGCGTTTGTTATAGTGTTCTAAATCAAGATGTGGCAGCTTCGTATTCCAGTGTTCTTGGTCCTTAGAGTTAAACCTTTATTTTATTTGGTTTGAGAGCATACAGTAGTTCTTTTGGCTATAGTGATAAAACATAGATGAGCCCTTCTTTTTTAAGCTACTGTTAAATTGTTCAGAAGCTACAGTGCATTTTCTTTGTGATGTGCAGATGTAGTTGTACATTTGTTCTTTATTTTTGAAGACTGTGAACAAAAATAGGATGATCAAATGCTCAGATGGCGTGAGCACATAGTGACATTCATGATTAGCACCCACCAGAATTCTGAAGGTGGACCGTTTGGCCATTTCAAACATTCCTTCTGCAATGCTAATGCTAATATTTGCAGATTCTTTGTGCATTGACCTTTTGTTTCCATCTAACAAGTTCGTTTGAGCAATGCAACGAAAATCTGTGAATAATAGAAACCAAAGTGGGAACGTTGACGTGGAGTGAGAAGGTTAAATGTAGTTTTCTGAAGCAGAGAAATGTTATTGTTCAAAGGTAAGTTTTACACCTTAAAAATGTGTGTCTCTTCTCTATTCAATACCATATGTGTCACATAGTGACAATGTTTGTGTTTAAAGCAAACACTTGAGCAGTTAGAATGAGTGGTAATGACTGGTTACATTATAAATAAAATTATTCTATTTTTTTGTTTACTTTTACCTTGAAGTTTATTTACTTTGAACTTGGGCTCCATTATTTCCCCAAAGTCAATAACCTGCATTTTCTCAGGGAAAGTGAATTGCAAATGACAGTTTCTCAAGACCTTGCAGTGCCTTTTCCTTTGAATTCAGTTCAGGTGGCATGTTGCGATGGTGTTTGTGATCATGGCTGCGTAGATCCTGGGTTCAGTTCTGAGTTTGCCAGTTCTTCTCATGTTTCAGTAATTATTTTTAAGGTCCACTGCTTTCCTTCCATCTTCCAAAGACAGACAGAGCAGGTTCAGTTTAGCTATTCTAAACTTTCATAATTATTCTGCTCTGTGGTGGACTAGCATTCCAGGAGAGCAGCAGTACACCCTCGTCCTGTTTTGCTGACAGCAGTAAGTAATGCTCTGGACTCATAACTGGAAGGTTGTGGGTTCAAATCTCAGGTAGCACTGCTGTTCCATCCTTGACCAAGTTACTTTACTCAGATTGCTTCAGCAAAATGCTACATAAAGGGGCATTACATGTAAACTGCTTTGGATAAATGTCATGCAGATAATGTAAGATGAATGCATGAAATTAATTATGAGGTACTGTTCCTGATAATGTTTATTCCCTTCTCTCTTTAAGCCTTAATAAAGTGTGCTTAGTGATGATAAGATCACTGGAAGAGAAGAATGGCCCCCTTTTGTTTGTAACCTTTCTGCTCATTAGTAGCTTACTGTATGTTCCAAGGGACATCGGGGCTCACAGCCCTACTCCTATGCTATGAATAGTGTAGACATGTAGAAAGGAAGTTTTTAGCATCTCGTCTGAAAGACAGCACTCTTGTAGCACAGTTTCCCCATTCACTACACTGAGGCTGTGGTTTGAAAATACTGGTCCACTGGTCACCACAGTGTACCTAAGAGGCCTCCCATCCAAATTCAATACTTGCCGTAACTGCTAGTTACACGGAATGGGGTTGGGAGAGCTCAAACAATTAAAAGACATACAATACAAAGCAAAGCCAATAATAAACAGCACCCACCCAACAAATCTTCACGTACAGTACCATCCACAACATACACCAGTAATCAAATCAAATCGCAGAGCAGAGTTCATGCATCACACAGCCTCTGGGTAGGTGCTGTTAAGGAACCGGGAAGTCTCACTAGTAACCCAGTACTGACCAGGAGAAGCCTTCCTTATCTCCTGAGATCTACAAGGATGACTTTTTTTTCTAGTTGAACATGTAGAATTAACAGTGGTTCCCTACACAACAGCTGTAAAGTACAATAAACTGTGCTGCTTCATTTGTATTTCTGCTCCGTGTTATTGAGCTGCCTCTCCTGACTTTTTAAACAAACGTTTTTATTTGAAAGAAGAGCCTTGGCACCAGTTTAGGAAAAATAATACAAGCGCAAAACAGAGAAGGATGCATCTCTACAGGCCTGCTTGACCTTTGCTTACTGATAACCCCTTGCCAGATAGCGTTGCCAGCTAGGGTTGTATCCACCCTGGATATGGCTCCTTAAGGCAGTCATACTCATGTACAGCGAGGCATTGTAAAAACTACAGGCAAAACACATCATCGCTTATTAAGCAAATGCTAATCTCACATTTCCCAGGAGTATCAGGTTGAAAAACAACTTGGTAGCACCCAAGATGGAGGTTTCTGCAGTTAGGCTTTCCCTGAAATAGCCTGTTGATGTATTGTATACCTGTGTAACTTGTGATGTGCGGAAAAAAATTTGGTGGCGTAGAAAAAGACCTGTGTATGTAGGTGAAATTCATTCACTTTAATTTGCTAATGCAAGAATAAGGGAATCCAAATAGTCTTTTTCTCTTAGTCACTTTGTGGCTGACGAATACAGATCAATACATATTTATCTTTTTAGGCAGAAGGTACATACTAAGGCCACCCAAGTTGCTGAGCCATTAAAGGTTCTTACTCAAGTGCAGGTGGCTCTATGGTCACGGGCTCGAGGCTGGGTCACCTTTAACTGATTCTCCAAGTGGAAGAGTGCTGTTGAGGGTCATCTGGGTCTAACTGGTCGGGGCCATCTTGGCTCTCAGCGTGCACAGCGACCCCTGTGGCCCCCCAGAGACTTGCAGACATGCACCACCATTGGAGAGGGTTGCAGTTGGAGCTTTTCACATTATCAAAGGCCAGTGCGCTTTGTCCATGTCTCATCCTGGGCTAGGTTATGGGGTCAGTTTTGCAGAGTAAAACTGGAGCTATCTTTGAACTTTGCACACTTTTTATAGGATTCGGTGTTATCTGTAAAAACGTGTCAGCTGTAATTTTCTCCATATAGGGCTGATTTACCATGCCTTAGTGATTCAGTGTTTGGGATCTAAAGAAATAAGAAGAATATACTGCAGCTTGTATAAGGACACTGATGGAAAGACATCGAATGGAAAATTAATCTAATATTCAAGAAAATCTTCTTGAAATCTTCCACGATGATCTGGTTGAACCTATGTGTTATGGCATTACAGAGTGCATCAGCACACTTTGATGTCTTGAAGGGAAAACAATAGTAGCAATAAGACACTTTAAGCCTCAGGTTGCTTCTTAGAACCTCGTGGGAATCAAACTATCTTAATAAAGAAAGTGAAAGGATCAGGAAGAAGATCATATTCAAGTGACAGACATAGGACAAGAACATAAGAAAGTTTACAAATAAGAGGAGGCAATTATTTGCCTGTTTTGTAGCTTGTAGGTAATTGATCCAAAGATCACATACTGAAAGGAGCCAGGGTTTCAGCTTCAGCAACATGACTTGCTCTGCACTGGAAGACGGACGCGCAGAGGCCCGCCTACCATCAAGTCGCCCAACGTCCGCGGCTTGAGGGCATAGGCCTCCTATCGGCGTCCTGACCCAGCTGAGTCCGGGACTCACAGCGCCTGGCCCCGTCATCCCGTTTTTATTCCCCGTCCCTGTACTGGATCCTGTTCCAGTTTTTAACTCTGTCTTGTCTTCGTCTCGGATGGACCTTGGACTTCACCCCAGATTTCCCCCTGGACTCCCTTGGACTTGTTTGCCATGGCCACGCCCCCCGAGCACCAGTTCACTGTCGTCACGCCCCCCCCCCCTGTTTGTCAACCTGCCCTGATCCACGTCATCTCCTCCCCGTCGTCCTTCTCCTCTTACTTCCGGATTATACCGTCTGCATAGAGTCCAGAACTATGCTTCACGGGACCCTGGACCGGCTCCCGTTACAACGAGTGCGGTGTTACTGTAATTGGTGCGTGGGCTTTACGAAGAGTAGTGCTCGTGAGAATGTGGGAGCGCTTGGGTGTTTGTGACAGGTTTGGGTAGAAGTGCCTCCTACTCTTGGCACTGGCACTGAATCTGATACTCATGCTTCTTTTACATGCTGGCTGGATGAAAGATCTTCAGATCTATCAGATACTAGCAGCCACATGGGCTAGATTGGCCAGATAGTGTCCTCTTGTTTGTAACCTTTCATAAGCTCTTTATGTTTCGAGAGTGTTGTTAGTTTCACAACTTTTTACTGCAACCAGTGTCAGCCATCAGAACCAACAGCTGTACGCTGTGTGGCTGCCTCCTTCCCTCATGAGCAACCGTCAAATGGTTAATAAAGTTTTAAAAAATAAGATTTCTGTTCAGTTCTGCCAGTGGATGTAAATAAATGTCTGGGGAGCATATTTTATATTTTAACCAACCTTAAGCCACAATCATGCCTGTCTTATCAGATATGACTCAGCTCACTTCCAATAAGTTGTGCATCATAATTTGACTGTCAAGCTTTGTTGCTAAGTAATACCCATGTGTTATGTTTGCTGTTCTTATTTAACCTACAATTAATTATTTACACATTTGTAGAATATTTTTAAACTCTATGCTTTTAATTGGATTGTTTCACAATCCTTGTTTAGCATGTCAGTTTGAGTTCTGCACTTTGTTGTGAAGCTTTGTTTAACAGTAACATAGATGAGAAGAAAAAGTTACAATGACCTTCTACTCTCTATATAGTATTTCAAAATATTTTTTTTATTTTACAGCAGACTTGTAAAGCATACAGGTGTGGTTAGAGGTTTCCACACTCTCTTAAGTTCGCAACCTTGAATATTTGTTATTGTCCTTAAATTATCAGCCCAGATACGTGTGCGGGTAATGTGGTAATTATATTTCAAAATTGTTCTCAACACTAGTTTGGAATTAGAAGTGCCAGTGTAAAATATTTAATTTTTCAATTATAAGGCATTTTATTAATTGAAATTAGGAAGGGTTTGCTTTTTAAATCAATGTGTTTATTATTAATTTAGAATTTAACTTAATAACTTAAAAAATACTTTATTTTTTCTGCTTTCAAACAATTTTAAATAGAGATCTTAATTAAAAATACAGGAGGCATGTACAAACATTTATGAATGTCTGTAGATACAAATATGGACATTAAATGACACCTGAAGAAGGCTCCAATGCCGAAACGTTGTGTTTTCTTTCTTCTCTTCTCAGTATGGAATAAACCTATTACTTGTTCCTTTGCAGCCTACGTATGCTGAAGCAGCTCCCCACCTGAACATTAAATATTTCGCAGTGCTGTAAATGTCAAGCTCTGGCTGTTTCTCTAATGGAATTTAGGGAGTGTCAGATCTGGAACCTTCAGAACAGCAGCTGGTGACGCAGGCAGTGCCTGTGGCTTCAAGGCAGAGCACTGCTCTTTGTGTATTTCTTTGTGAAATTCCAATACACTGGTCTTCAAAGCAGTTTTGATTTTTTATATTTAAAAAACTGTAAAACATTTCAAAACTATAGACATTTCAAAGCAGAGTAACTGCTTTCTCTGTGTGCCACAATTGAGGTGTCAACTCACAATGGTTTAACGGTGACTTGAATGAATACTTGTAAGTAAACGTCTGACTTCTAAATCTTCATTAACTTTCGGCAAAACCTGAAACATTTCAGAAATGCTCAGCACAAATCCTAAAAGGAGTCTATCATTTCCTCTTGGTATGTGTATAAGGTTGGCAGATGTTATAGAAGAGATGATTGTCCAGTGCCTCTCCTTTTATGTATTTATATATGCAGTTTATACAAGACTCTTGGGAGTTTGAAATTCATACAGAAGCTGTAGACTTTAAGCTATTAAAGGACTATATTAAAGGACTATATCACTAAAATTAAATCACAACCTACTTGCTGTATGATTGTTGACTGTATAATAGCATTTATTTTATGGTAATGTTTCATTGTTTTTTACTGATATCATCTTGCTTTTTTGACTTACTTGAGCATCTTTTGGAGGAGCATATTTGTTAAGTTATTTAACATTTGTATATTTTCATATGCATTTGCTAATCCATTTCATTAGGTTTAATAAAAGGGTCACACAATCTCATCTTCTTTTAATAGAGGAGCTTGAACTGACCATTTTGATAAATTCTGCAGAAAAAGTCCAGAAGGATCTGCAGAACTCGAAGCAGAATGATGACTGTGTTTGGAGTTTCTGACACTGCTCTCAAACGGTTCAAGTCTTACCTCACTGATTGATGTCACTTTGTCTTTCTTGGCAGTTTTAGGTCTTAAAATTGAACTCGTTAAGTCTGGTGTTCCTCAGGGCCAATACTGGGCCCCCTACTTTTTAGCATTTACATGTTTCCACTTGGACAGCTTTTAAGATCAAATGGCCTCAACTATCATTTCTATGCTGATAATACTCAAATATGCTGTACATCCATACCAATCCTGACACTACTGTGGCTATCTCTATTCTATCTAAATGCATCTTTGACATAAAAACTTGAATGACTCAAAAGTTCCTTCATCTTAACTATGACAAGACTGAAGTCATGCTTATTGGCACCACCCATCAACTTTGTAAAGCCAATCCTGTAACCCTAGTTGTGGATGGTACTGTACTTGAGCTTCAATCTAAATTGAAAAACCTTGGGGTGATATTTAATTCAGGCTTTACATTCGACCCACATATGCAGCATATTGTCAAAACATCTTTCACATATCGCTAGACTACGCCCTATTTTATTGCTAACTTTGGCAGAAAAGCTGATCAACACATTTGCCTTCTCCCCACTTGACTGCTGTAATGCTCTACTCGCTGGTGTTTCTAAATCCACATTGAACAAACTCCAGTATGTCCAAAATTTGGCAGCCAGCCTGACCAGGTCTAGTGCAAATGATCACATTACTCCTATCCTGGAGTCCTTGCACTAGCTTCCTGTCAAGTTTCGTGTCGACTCAAAATCCTCCTGCTCGCTTATAAGGCTCTGCATGGCTTGGCACCTCAGTACCTGTCTGAACTATTATCGCCCTACACTCCACTTCGCAACCTTCGCTCTTTTAATTCTGGTCTCCTAACTGTCCCCCAAGCCCGTCTACACTCAATGGGTGACAGGACCTTCTCCTGTTATGCCCCAAAGCTCTGGAACTCTCTCCCCAAGGATATCAGAGTCAACTTCTCTAAACTACTTCAGATCCAGACTCAAAACCTTTCTTTAGAAGAACCTTTATTTAACTGGTTCTGTTCTTTACCCCTCTGCTCCTACTGTATTCTGTACCAACATCTACTGTCTCCTCTAACTGTGTATTCTCCTCCTGCTTATCTTGTGTATTTGTTTTATTGTTGTTGTTGTCGTCTTTCTGTAAAGCGCTTTGAGAAGCCACCTTAAAGGCACTATATAAAATAAAGTTGATTATTATTATTATTCCCCCTCCATGACGCAGTTTTCATCTGTTGTTTCCCAGACTGCAGGAGCGCCGGCGAAGCTCAGTTGTGGTCAGTTTACCTGGGCTGGATATGTCTCCAGGGGACCTCTTTGTGTCCGATGGGGCTGCAGACTACCTGAGCCGCTCTTCATTGCTGGGTGAGACTCTTGTACCTGCTGGGACTTTCTACAGTCAGGATCTAGCAAACCAAACTAATGAACCAATTAACCAAACCAATTAACTAATTAACCAATAATTAACAGCTACCCGAGGTTTGGAGTTGCATGGCTTTAAATTAGTTTTGTTTTGTGGATTTCCCAGCTTTATGCTGCATTTGATTTTTAGCCTTTGTTTTCTAACACTCTTCATTTGAGATTCATCTGTATATATATATAACTATATATATAACTATATATATATAGTTCTGTGTGGTCTCAATGTCATCTTATAATATCTAATAATATAATAATTTGTATTAATTTTGAATTAACAAAAATGATTATAGTGAGAATCCCATTTAGGGTTTAAGACAAAAAACGTACTATCATGTTCACTCAAGGAAATCACTGTAGTTCAGAAAGTACACGTACACTAGCTAAATACACGACTGACTAACTTGTAGCGCTAAACGCCATTAGTCATGTTGTACACTTTGTGAATATGCATGGAGTGGGAGATAACCTACTGATTATTCCTGATAACTTTTTTTTTTCATTTCTGGCACTAATAAAATAGAATATAAGGGAGACAAAATGCTCAGCAGCAGGGACAGAAAATCCTCATCATGTTCCCTCATTTAGAACAAAGCTTGCCTTTCATTCCTACTTCTCCTTGAAGTGAACAGCTTCTTTGTTTCATTTAATCTGGGAGTGCAGAGGCAAATTTAAAATGTGTCAATGCAAATCAACAGCATGGAAAGTGTGAACCGAACCATACACAACAGCAACATTTTTGTCTTTGTGTGTCTGCTTTGTTTTTTGGCGTCTGCTGTTGTATCATTTTTGAAAGTGCAATATGTGATTTCCGTATCTTACGCATCTAGGTCATTATCAAATTAAACGTTTTAAAGAAGAACAGTTAGTTTGTCTTTTACAGACAAATATTCTGTTTCATATACTGATAAAAGGACCCAGAATCGAATGTTTTGTTCTCATAGATACCAAGAAATCAAAATGGCCTTTCTCGAAACGTGGGGCGGTAAGTGGTGTTCTTTTCTGTTTTTGTTTTTTGCTGAAAGGAATTAGCATGGGCATGATTTCGTGAAGCACAGTGATGCTGAGAATGTCACACGAGGTTCTGTAGTCAGTTACAGACAGGTGCTGGACTATGCGACAGCCTTAATCAACAATAAGCCTGTCTCTGAAAGCTTGTTCGATTGGATAGCATGAACTGTAGGTATAGCACAGAATAGTTGCATTGAAATTATTCTTTAAAAAATTACATAATGATCCTGCAAGTGTAAATAATGAAATTGCAACTGACGTGTATCATGATTTGGTTGCTGCATGAAACACAAAGGATAACAAAGCAATGCAAGTCTAATCGACCCACATCTATCAGGTTATCATAACACTAAAGCGGAGGATTGTGTAACTCGTGTTTATAATAATTGGGACAAGTAGAGGTTATCTCTGTACTGAACAGTGGAAAGAAAAAAACTCAGAGTTTCAGTTGTTGAGCCTTCTTCAGGCATGAGGGAGAGAGAGGAAGGTAGCTGCTGGGATATAAAACAAAGGAGAACACAAGAAAGAGCAGGAAGGAAAGTGTAAACACTAATGGAGATCTGGGGGTTGAATTCCAGAAGTCCTGTGAAGAGCAAACGTCTGTATGTGAATGGGGAAGTTAGCAGTTAGGTTAGAGTTTTTTTCTCTGAAAAAAGGAAAGCCATTAGCCTGTCCTTCTGCGATGGTGGAAGGTCTGACCCTAGTTTATGGAGCTTCTGAAATAAGAGTCCTGGAATCCCTGAAAAAGATGCACGTCTCCTTTTTCTTTCGTTTTCTTTCCCCACCCTTTGACTTCCTATTCCTCGAGCCATTCTCTCACTCTGCCACACCTGAAGAGGTGCCCCCAGCCAAATCGTCATGTTTTTTTTTCCTTTTAGTATAGTTAAACCTCCCTTGCTCATTAAATATTACACTTTTAAGCCATACCTTATGCCCAATGTGCCTGCAGACAAATGCACTGCAAATTTGCTGTTTTCACATGTTGCTTATTTCTCATTGTTTGTGTTGTCAGACAAAAGACAAGATGAAGCTGGTACCTGACATGGAGAAATATCTTTCAAAACTACAGATTCAAGACTGGAGCGATTCTGAGTTTCAGAAGTACAAGGTGATTTTCACTGGGGGGGTGTGTGGCTGAATTTGCTATGATGTTATCCGACCAGTACCCAAGAGATCCTGTCGGAACAGTTAAGAATTTAAGAAAGGTTACAAATGAGAGGAGGTTTTTTGGCGCATCTAACCCTTTTGGAAGTTTGTAGTTAATTGATTCAAGGAGCTCAATCCATCCATCTGTTGAAAGAAACCAAGAAGCCAACAACATGGCTGGGAATTTTGTTACTGTCACTGTCAGGCTCCTGCTCTGTCCTGTTCCTAGTTTCCCTCTGTATTACATGTTTTTCTGGTGTGTCTCATTGTCTGGGGCTAAATATTTCCGGGTCTCCCTTTCCTCCTGGCTCAGCATTGGGATGGCATGTCGAGAGGCTACGCATAGGGTCTTCCTGTCTTGCCGGTCTCTCTCCACGGCCAGCCTCCAGCCTCCGTGACAGTTACATACTCCCACGACTCTGTTCTGCTTTTAAATGCACTTAAACACAGTTTCCACTAGCGCCCCCTGTTTTCTGTTTCATGGTACGTTTTGAAGAAATCCTCTGGGTTGACTTTGTCCCCTCATAATATTCTCTGTTCAAGATTTTAAAAAATCAGCTGATGGTTAAAAAGTTTAGTTCCTTTAGCCCTTCAGTGTGGGGCACTGCCTTAATCCCCAGAATGTTTCTAGCTGCCCTTCTCTGAACCGATAACAGAGCTGCAATACCTTTTTTACAACATGGTGACCAAACCTGTACGTAATATTCTAAATTGAGTCTTGTTAGAGCATTATACAATTTTACCCTAACGTCCCTTGATTTAAATTCTATGGTTTTAAGTGTCCCCCACATCATCTAGGAGATGTCAACATAAACACCCTAGTCTCTTTCATAAGTAGCCTCTTCTAGCTCAACATTTCCCATTTCCTTATAGTCTGTTTTTTCTACCTGCGTGCAATACCCTACATTTATTAAATGTCATTTGCCAGGTGTACAATGTTTGCTAATCCTCCTAATTTGGTGTCACCTACAAACCTGATTGCTCTACTAACTATGCCAGAATCTACTGTCGATGAGTTATGTGAATTAGGAAGAGCAGTATTCCTAGTACACATCCTTGCGGTATGCCGCTAATTCCATCACCCCTTATCTGTACTTTGTTTCCTATTTATGAACCACTTCTCAATCCCATTGCATACACATCCCTGACTGCCTTCCACCTGTAATTCAATAATTACTCTTTTATGGGACCTCAATCAGGAGACTTTTAAAAATGTAAAACCATATCATATGCTCTGTGTGTCCATTTCTGTCCAACTCTAAGAAGCACTTTAGGCAAAACATACAGTAGCTTTTTTAAATCCATGATGACAGTTACCTAGATTGTTAATTCCAAATAGAATTAACAACCAAATAGTTCAACTTCCAAATAGTTCCTATAATTGTTAGAACCTTACATTTAATACACACTCTTTCAAGCAAACTAAATAGCAAAAATGATTGATCCTACAAGTGAAGCCTGTGTTTTGCTGCCCAGGACTGGACACTGGCAGAGTTTTTGAGTTTGTTACTTCAGTGTGACCTGAAGGCCTCAGATTCCCACCCAGACTACAGGAAGGAGGAAGCTGTGTGGGAGCTCTTCACCAGTGAATGTGTTTATTTTCTGGACCAGCTGATGGTTCTTAAAGAGGTAAGACTGTATGATGAATATGTTCTTTTGGCTGTAATGATATGCTTTGGAATTTCCGATTGATTGTCTATCTTATTCAACATACTTGCATTTATTTTTTATATCATTATGACTCTTCTCGTGTGAGTCTGTTTAATATTCTTGCCTCTTGTGGCACAATGTAACTGAACACGGGCTGCACATGACCTTAAACATTTTTTCTTAATGCTTTTTGCAAAGCTACTGTGTTAATCAGATGAAGAATGTTTTTCATGGTGGATTATCAGGTGTTTCTCTAAATACCTTCCCTGGCAAGTCATGTGGAATTCTGTAGTGTAGTTCATCAGGTTCCTAGAGTTAATTTTGCTTTGTAAAACGTTACCAGTAAATCACAGTGTAGTATTATACTGTGGTTCTTGTAATTTTAATTATTTTTGTATCTGCTATATGTGACCTACATCAGTATTTTTAGAGGATCTTAGAGGATCTGTCAGCTTTCTTCAATGTGGTCTCACTATTTTTTATCAGCAGCAGAAAAGTTTCATGGAGTGTGAAGAGAGTTTGAAAAAGGTTACAGTGAAAAGACATGGTACACAGCAACAATCACACATTTTACCAGGGCTGCGCTTCATACTCATTTATCATAATAATTGCTTAGATTCTACAATTGCCTGTTCCTTTTGAGTTCTCAGCTTCTCTTTGGATATAATTACTAGATCTGAGTCTTACTGTGGTTTCAAGCAAATGCACCTTCACGTACCTCACAACAGCTCCAGGTTGATCAGTGGCTGTTTTAGTCCCTGTCATAGAGGATGAACCACACTGTTTAAAAGACATAGCGGATCAGTTCTCGCTAGTTTGGAAAGACAAAACAAATCTCACTGCTGCTCCATCGCATATACTGTACAGAGTACCCCAATGAATAGTGTTTCATTTTGTCTTGTTAAATAGCCTATCTACAATTACACAGGGAGAAAAATAGTCTCATTTAAATGTACTTTATCTTACTGGCATGAAGGGGAAAGGCAATAATATTGTGTCAGTAAGATGTACTACTACTGTGTTCATTTTTGGCTGTACTTTGAATATGTTTGTGTCACATACAGTACACATGTCTTTTGAGAGAGGATTTAAAGCTTTGTTGCTGGACAATAAAAGTCTATTTTTCTCTTACAGGTCTTTCTGAGCACCCTCACAGGCTTACAAAACAGTGACTATCTTTTTGATGTTGATCCCTGGCGACTCTTTGCCAATCTCAATGAGTTATGCCTGGTAAGAAGCAGAACGTTAGCATCTCATGGGCACTCTTTCTAGAAAAGAAGAAAAGTGTTTTTGTCGGTGGTGTTGAAGTGACTTGAATGTTGCTGAATCCGCAGCTCTTAATTGTCAGCATTGTGAGTTTTTGCACTCCATGCTGAACTGGAAAGTGATACATTTATTGGCTTCTTTCTTCAAAATTTCTCAAACCTATTTTTTTGTATTATGAAGCAATATAGTGTGGTCATTTAATGATGCTGGGACCTACATGTGTGTTTTTAGAAGAAAGTTTACAAATGACAGAAGCCCATTTGGACCATCTAGTTTTTGAATATCATCCATCCATTTCTGTCAGGAAGCTCAGTTCTATGTTCCCAGTTTTAAATGCTCTTACATATAGTTTCCAGTTGGGACCTCTGGTTTGTCACTATTCATTCTGAAAAAGTCTGCTAGATGTCCTTTGTCAGTGCTTTTGAAGAAAACCACCTTTGAGAATTAGCTCAGTTTAGTTGTTCCATCCATTATCAGAAAGCCGTTTACTCCTCTTGAAAGAGTCATACCAATTCAGGCCCTATACCAGAAGCACAGAGCACAAGGTGGGACTACACTCAGGATGCAAAATCAGTTTATTGCAAGGCTCACACAGTGACAGTTCAGAGAAACCTGTTAACCGAGCTAGCATGACAGCAAGAGGTGGGAGGAAACTGCCGCACTCAAAGAAAACCACACAAACAGAATGACCATGCAAACTCCATACAAAAGGCACGATCTGGCAGTCTAGAAGTCTGGAAGTGTAGCCTGGAAGCAGAGCTGTGCTGTGCCACAGTGTAGCCTTAATATGATTTAAAGGAGATTTAGCATGGCTTGCTGTGATACAGAAATGTCCTAGAATCCTAAGACTCCCTCTCAAGGGTTAAAATTGTCATGCTATGCTGTTTCATTCACAACATGAATTTTTTTCTTAACAATCGTGCCAACAGGCAGCAAATCTGACAAATCTGCATCATCACTTTTTTAGATCAGGTTTGCTGTAACATACTAACATACATCAGGACTTGTTTTGAATTCTGTTCAAAGAAATATAGTTTTCAAATTTTAATCATAGAGAAATATACATCTAAAGGGCATGTGCTGAAATAGAAGAATGTCCTTTTGGCATTTAGATATTTGATTAGGCATGATGAGGTGCATTTTGCTTATCAGGTGTGACTAAAACAGTATTTTTCCTGTGCAGGTGAGTTTTGGTTTCCTGACCAACCTTTTGCGGGCTATAAATGAATCCTGGGAATCAGGAGACAAGAAGTCCAGTTCTTTGAATAATTTACTGACCAAGGCAAGT